TTCCTTCTATGAAAAATATCTTATAATACAGTGGTTAAGGTAGTCTGCTGGTCTGCACCTCCAAAGGAGGAATGATTTGAACTTGGGTTTAGCCATAGGCTCAATGACTTTTCTAATTGGTAGGCTGTTGCTTTCTCATCCTGTCCTTTCACAGGGTTAAACATGCTTGGAGGTGAGCCTTGTGTGTGGATTAGGTGGAGGAGTTCTGACTTTCTGAGGAGCAAGGGAGGAAAAAAGCTGTTAAAAAGGACCCCAGGTGCTTGGATGGCCTTTGCAAGCCTGACCAGGACATTGCTTATCTACCTTTAAAACCCGCATCTTAGTGTGAGCTAGGATGCCCATGGAGAAAGGGGGTTTCCATCTTGCCTCAGATCAGTAGTCTTTTTTACTTGGAGATGTCTGTCAAGGAGCAGGAGGACCAGAATCTTCAGGGGGAAGTTACAGAAATCCCATGGGATTCTAATGATAGAATAGCCTGCCCTTGGGAAAAAAAAAAAAATCATACTCCTTATATCTCCCTCTCTGTTGAGGTCATGAATGCTACTGGGATTCACACAACTGTTTCTAGCCTGGCTCTGAGTCATACATACCTCTTGGTAAGGGTGTACCCACAGGCAATACGTTCCCTTGGTTAATTATTTTGACATGGGGTGAAAAGTCTCTCTCACAAGTCCCAGGCATCCCCTTATTTTATGTAGGACTGGGCTGAGAGTTAAGGGAGGAGCAGTCCTTGTGTTAGTCACCTTCAAGAAAAGGTGCCACCCTATACATGAGCGTCACTTCCTTTTCTATGTTAAGTAGTATTATATTTGCTGCACTGGGTTCTTTTTGCCCTAAATGACCTTTCCCCTTTTGACTTAACTTGTAGAACTGTTGCATACATGTAAAGGTGATCTTAGACCAAGCTCAAGCAAGAAAAATGTGAGGGTGGCACAGATGTGCAACCCACCTCCCAAATAAACATTACATGCTGGCCATCATCTGCTGCCCACACATATCTGTATGTTATGGAGTGTTTAGTTTTAGTCATCTTTTGACACAAGTTATATCAAACGCAATTCACTTTGGAAAAATCAGGTCCAATGAGTAGGACCATGCTAGTTAACTAAAGAGGGGTAGGACCTGGGCTTGAGCAATATCCTCTAATCATTCATCCCATTATCATGCCCACTCCCTGACACAGTTTAGTTCCAGTCAATTAGTTATCTCTGAAAAAAACCTTGAGTGTGAATCTCTCTAGCACAAGACCTGGACTGTTTCCAACTGGAGTATGGATGAGGCCACACAGTTCTTTTTGGAAAGGAAGTTTGACATTATAGATACAAAGCCCACTGTGCCACTTGTCCTCAGGCCAGAGACCAGGCTTTGGTATGTTTAACTAAATAGGATAAATGTAGCTCTTTCATCTCTGTATCTTGAAACTATAAAATTTGAATGGCACTTGCTAGAATGTCTAAATCTTTTGGACACAACGGTTATAACAATAACATCTTCTAACCCAGAACACAATAGTTTACCAGTCCTACTTGCAAAGTCTGGAGTATTAAAGGAGTTTTCTTTTGGAGGACTGAGTGTATGAAAAAATATATTCAGTAATGTATTCCTCCCTTTTTGGGAGGAGTCACAGAATGGTATTTGTCCAAAAAGTTGCTTGCTGAGTCATTGCTCTTGCTCATCTTTCTTTTGCGAATCTACATAAAAGCTCAACAGGGCTAGGCTAAATTATATTATTTTCATATGACAGCCATCCTATACACCTTAGTATGGATGTGGAAGTAGAACAATATTTTGCAGCATGTTTTTGACTTAAAAATGGAAATTCAACAAAAACTGACAAGAAAATAATGTAGAGGAAATGCGTCTTACTAGCAACCAAGGGACATAGACTTTGGAGAAAAGTATAAACTAAAGCTAAGTACACAGCTGGGAATTGAGAAGTACAATAATGCGTTGCCACTGTAGGGGGCTACATGCATTTGACTTTAATAATACTGAATAAACCATTCAAATCTTAATGATGGCATTTCTGAACTAGTTATGTTCACTTTTCTGCCAATGCTACTCTATTTTAAAAGTTAATGTAGGGAGGAATTCTAAGACATTTCTTGTTTTTTCTCATAAATCATGTCGGGCCATGCACTCTGCTAATGTAAATCAAGCTGTCCAAATTATTTTGGTGGAGATATATCCAGTTTTATCAGCTGAGGATGTGGTCATTTATGTTTGCACCTATTTTTCAGAGCTTTTCCTCTTTTTCCTTGCAAGAATGGCAAGCAAAAGCAGACCATTTACCCAACTCCCAACAAGCAGATTTCATAGAAACGCTGGTGATGATAGGTCGATAGGACATTAGTTTCTGATGTCACCAAAACACTTCACTGTTTGAACTAAAAAAATAATTCCTTCAATTCTTATAAATCAATAGTAAATCATGGCCCAATGCGGTGAACCAGTAGATTAGATAAATTACATATTTTGATTAAAAGTCATTGGTGGACAATACAGGGGCATATATATACACCTGTATATTTTGCATTGCTCTTTTTTGGCATTGCTGAAAAATCTGTGTCCAGAATGCTGTTTGTGCTACAACTGGGGAACTGTGCTATGAGTGAGAAAGGGAATAAGGGAGATATAATTCAAATTCTGATGTACTCTGAGCAGTTAAATTTCACCATATCTGTATTTTTGTCCCTCCTTCAATTAAATAAGGACCTTAAACTAGAGAATGAAAACAAAACTGTTCTATAAACCTGACTGCAGAACAGTTCACACAATCTAGGAATGACTGGATTTGTGATGTATCTTATTTGTTATACTGAGATCCAGAGGCAAAGTTTCTGTTCCTCTGAATTTCTGAAAGCTGAATTTCTCCAGCGTATGGGGAGCTTGTTCATGGAAAATAATTATGGGTGACTTTCATTGTATGCTTATGTTGAACACGTTCTATTCCTGATACATGGCACTGCATCATATATTCTTTATTCACCAGGTACAAAACCTGTATGTCATTACCATAGAGAAAACCAGACAAAATTCTTAGTATTGGATTTGCTTTAATCTGAAAAAAAAAATGTTTATTTGTTTTTTATTTTTTCCAGTTTTGAAATACTAAGTAGTCAGCGTAGCAAACATCAAAAATTCACTGTCTATGGAATCTACTGGTTGTTGCAGATCAGTCAATAAAAGATAGCTGGCCTGCTTTATTCTTAAGCTGAGGTCAGTACCATTGTTGGAATTTCTTATATTTTTGCATTTAGCTTTACAGTGTCTCTTCTGTGTGTCACCCACCAAAGATTTATTAAGGACTGTCTTAGAAGAAGCCTCTGGGTAGCAGAACCAGATTGCTGTGGCCCATAGTTTCTTCTCTGTGTCCAAAGGTTATAAATACAGAAAAATATAAATTTAATTTCTCCAGGCTTTAGTGTTTGCATCTCTATTTGCGTTTCTCAAACATTTGGGTAAAGAAGGCAGCGCTGTGAGACAGGTTAAATTTCTCTCTGATATGCGAGCAGAACTCTTCCAGTTGAACATAAAATGATAAATTAATATTGTCTAGCACCTAGATCGTGAAGAAAAAGGCTTCAAAACAAAAAGATATTTCTAGTCTCAGGTGTTGTTTTTATAAATCAAAGCTCTATGTCCATTTCAACTCAAAGCTTATGTAGATTTTTTTTTTAAGCTGATTCCCATTGTGCATTGCTTATGAGGAAAGACATCTATTTCATTCAGGAGGCATGTGTTTTAAAATTGTAAAATTGTTATATGACTGTGAAGGAATGCATTCGCAGTTTTCTTCTTGATCGTAAAAAGATAAACATATAGTACAGTGTACCTGAACATGCCAGGACTGCTCTAAGCATTTCTCACTTGCAGACACCCGGAAGATGAGATGTACAAAGTTCAGAAAGGTTTGCTTGTTTGTATTCATTAATTCTGAAACTTGTGGTAGTTATACTTGGCATTTTCTTGTCTGCCACACTGCTTCATCAGCTGTATTTCATCAGATATAACCAATGTTTAGACAATAACTTCATGCTACTAGGCACCAAACCTATGAAGAGGTAACCATCAGCAAAATTAAGGACTAGAAATATGGCTAAGGAGGCATTTAATAAGTTACTTTGTGTCAGTTTGCTTCTTTTATGTTGAAAGAAATTCTTAATTTTCACAAAAGACAATAGGACTAAAGGCTACTCAAAATCTTGCATAACCACATCTTACAGATTTCATAACAAAAGCTCCCCAAATATAAAATAAGCATGGGCTTGTATAAGATACTTTAAAAACAGATGCTGTTATCTTAAACAGAACTATAGGGTCGTATGCAGCATCCCTATCAGGAAGTTTATGGTGTTCCTTGCTACTGTATTTATTAATGTAAGGCAGTTCTTAGTCTACAGAGAAAGGTAATGCAGGCATTGTAAAGGGGGGAAAAAAAAAAAAAAGAAATGAAGGCAGCCTCTTCTCTCCTTTCTGTTTATTACAGACTATTATTATCTCTCTATTTATTATCTCTGTGCTGAAGGAGAATGCAAATGTGCACAGATAAGAGGGACTTGCAACAAGATCTCACGTGGGAGGGTTTTCCCCCACAGATCTTTTGCCTCTGCCCACACATTCAAACAGCTCAGATACTTAGTCCATATCAGATTCCAGTGTGTGTTCCCCACATAACACTTCTGTAGAATTCCTCTTTGATGAAATACGGCGTTTCTTCATGTTCACCACTGCAAGCACCCGAAACCCTCCAGCTGAGAGGCAGCCCTGCAACTCGGTGACGTATACTTCTGTGGGAAATCCAAATGAGCCTAGCATATTTTTCCAAACAGTAATTGCCTGGTTTTCTGTTTCAAAGCCTGTGAGAGCATTTCACTTGGTGAAACCCAGCCCCACTGCGCTTGAGAAGTACAGCGAGCACAGTAGTATAACAACTCACCGGTACTTCTAATTGATCTGGTATTTCTACAAGGTGCCACCCTTTTCCACACCTCCTGCCTCCTCCTTAAGTGACTCAGCCTCTGAAGGAGAAACCTCTTGACTTTTCAGACAGCTGGATGGGGAACGGCAGGTCAGGGCTCTGCTGTCTGCTTTGATTGTACCTCACTTCCAGGTGTCTCCAGGTTGACTTACCACACTGAGCCACGCCAGGACACTAACTTCTACGCTACCTAGGTAAGGGTGCTTACTTTTCTGCTTTTGTATATACCACGTATCGAGAGTCCTACATTTTCAGATGTTCTGTGATTTCCTAGTTTCCAACTACGGATTCTACCTCAAAGCACCTGATTTTCAAGAAGTGTGGAGAACTTGACTATGAAAACCCAGCTCTTAAAGTGTCTCAGTTGAGGTGTTCAGATTCCCTGGACCTCTCTTGGCTGTACTATCCTAATTACTTTGTTATTTACATTATATTGCTAATTGTATTTTATGCTAGTGCTACTTCTCTGCTGACAAACTCACTGTTCAGACCACTTTTCATGAATGGCTGTTTTTATGTCACTTTTGCTCTGCTGACAAACTCACTGTTCAGACCACTTTTTGTGGTGGTGGTCTGTTTTTATGTCACTTTTGGTTCATTTTATTGTTTCTTTATTCTTTCTTTGGAATTTTTATCTAAAATTTAAAGAGTACTAAATCTCATTTACTTGAATTTGCTTCAAGTATATGATTTTGGAAAAAAATGAGCAACAGTTTGCTTTCATTTCCCACCTTTGCAAATTGCAAAAAATACTCTTTCTGCTTTGATCTAATGATTTATCTGTACCATGAAGTGTAGTCCTATATAAACAGGAAGGTTCTTCATTTAAAATCTAGCAAAGTGAAAAGAAAGAGCTGAATAACAAAAATTAAAATTACCACACCCCCCCTTCTACACCATTTAAAATCTAGCAAAGTGAAAAGAAAGAGCAGAATAAAAAAAATTAAAATTATCACACCCCCCCTTTCTACACCGTATTAAAAAAAGCTCCATTTAAAACTGATCATATATTTCTAATTCGAAAACACATGCAAGTTTGGGTCCTGACTGAGCAGCTAATTTTACATTACTGACAATTCCAAAGCTTAATTTCTTTCAAAACAGAATCTCCTCCGCCCACACCCTGAAAAACCAGTTTGGAGACCTCTTTCTGCTACACATAGATGAATGATTTCTGTCGTACCTTCACGTGTTCTCTAGTCCTACGTTGCCTGTTCTAACCTTGCCTGTTTTCTTTTTTACACACATACACGTGTTATTCCTGTTCTCTGTGACGGTTGATATCAATACTGTGGCCTAAACTGTGTAGTAAAATATTTATTTAAACACAAGATATTATTTCCAGAAGTTTATAAATGTATTACACAGCTATTGCTCTGATATGTAACTCCTGGGAAAAAAAAAAAGCATTCCAGGAACATGTTTTTGTTGTTCTTTAATATCTGTAAAATAAATGTAGTTATTTTCACATGTAGCTTTCAGCAAAAGGACAAAAAGACTAACTAGTTGCCAAATTAAGAGAATCTTGTTACTTATAATTTTGAAGAGTATAATTGATGCCCAAGTGTTTATTTGTTAAGGTTTGACTACACACTTGGTACTGCGCTGAGTTAGCAACGCCATTATTCTTTCTGTTTCGTGTCCTGACCTACACTCTTGAGCCATGGCAGTGGATACTGGTCAATTTTGGGGGGAAGAAAGTGCAGTGCCAGTTATACATACAGATCTGCACCTGGCAGAGTGGGCCTTTAAGGCTATTTAGGAGACCATGTGTTTGGAAATGTGAAGGATGGTACAGCCTTGGGTGTCTCTAGCTGTGATGGTGATTTGAAAAACAGCCTTTATCTGCAATCAAGATAAGAAGCAACGTTTAGAAACACAAACCCTTATCTGAGTTGAAGTATAGGTAGCCAGGTCTGACAGCACAGTCACAGCACTTCTGGTATTTCAGGGGAGAAATTATGGATGTAGAGAACAGCAAAATTGATGTTGACTTCCCAACCAGCAAGATTCCACCTCACACACTTACGGATGTCTATCTAGAAGAACAACTATAACGATGTGTCTCCACAGTGCCTTATTTCTAAGGCCTGGAGTTCTTTCTCCTGTATCAAGTCAAAATGACTTAAATCAGTTGCTTGCCCACATATCTAGGTCTCACTTTTTTCAAGAGAAATAATGGAGAAATTAATACAGTTTACTGACCTGACATGAAAGTTGTTAACTGAAGGGAAGGAATTACTGTACTGTGGTTTGAAACTGTGATTAAGTAGAATCAAATGTCTTTAAAATATTATATTCTCCACATTGATCTCATATAAATGAAAAATAATGCACATAGTATCAAATTAGTGAATTACTGTACTGTGGTTTGAAACTGTGATTAAGTAGAATCAAATGTCTTTAAAATATTATATTCTCCACATTGATCTCATATAAATGAAAAATAATGCACATAGTATCGAATTAGTATTAACAGCTCCAATCGAGAAAAAAAAAACAAACAAAAAGTAAAGCTGAAGGAAGCCTTCATTTTATTCGTTACAAATACTTATTCTATGCAAAATTTCTCCTGGACTGCAGTGAAAACAAGCAAATGGATTAAAACAGAAAGAATGTGGAAAATTATTTTTTATTAGAATTCTATTGGAATAATTCTAAAATTCTGAGCTCTGATTACTCACAAGGCACTGAATGTTCAGCTTGCTTCAGAGCAGAACGGTCCTTCAAGAAGATGAAATTTTGGTGGAAAGCTTCATATTTGGGATAAGGAAAGAACAGAGTGGCTGTTTATTTTCTTTTTCAAATGGCAGATATTAGACATTATTGAAAATGGAACATTAAGGACGCACAGCGAACAGTAGTCAGCAAGCTGTGGCTATGTAGAGTCATGTGTAAAGGAACCTGTTTGTTACAGCTGGCTTTTTTGTGTGGACACACCACACTCTGTGGCTTCTCTACAATCCAGGCTGCTTTAGCAAAGCAGCACAAGAAGTGGGAAGATGGCAAAATTCTGAAACTTTTCTGTTTTAAACTAGTTGCACATCTACAACTTTTTGTATTACCCAGTTAATTAATAATAATAGGAAGTCTGATATTTCAGCCATTCACATTTGGCAATGCTTTATACGAAAAACTTTAGTATAAAAGCAAGTGTGTTGACTTTAAGGAGAAGGTGGTGTACCTCCCTTGACACTCCCTCAGCATCTACTATGTTGAATTACTTCTTATATGGCATGATCATATACGGTACCTCTAAGCTGCGGAAAGCAATATTGTTTATTAAAAGCAAAATACATATAATCTGAATATTTATAAATAAGATCTTAATCACTGTCATAGCCAAAAGCTAAAGAACAAAGACTTTTTTTGGTTGCAACTAGTTCAGTTTGATGTGGAAAACATGATTCTTACAGGAAATGTTTGCATTATTGTTATGTATTTTTTAAAATACAGCAATACATATACGTGAAGCCTAATTAAGTAGAAAGCTACAGCCAAAAACAGAAGAAGGAAGGCAAGAGGACTCTGTGCTAGAAGAATGGGTGTGTTCAGACTAGCTGAAAACTAGAATGTTTAGCTTTGAGAATTTAAGGCAGGCCTGAGGTCTTCTGCTGATCATTCACTACAGGACATAGAAAGGAGATGAAGTGAGCATATGGCTATTTGTGATAAAAATAGTTTTGGAGACTGATGCTGCTTTCTGAATAACTTACTACCAGATTGGAGAGGCATTTGACTTGCACAGAAGTCACATCCCAAGTTTTTTCTGGATTTCTTTGGGATCGTATTTGGATTTTCCAAAAAACGGGAGGGTCTGAATCCAGAATTGGCGTGTCTTCAAACTTGTGGGGAACTTCTCATTGGACTGGCTGGGGCAGTTTTAATTTTCTTTTAAAGTTTCCCGACGCTGTTTTCAATTTTAAATTACACTGGAGCTGCATTCCTGTTTGTTTTTGTTTTGCATTCCAGCTGAGTTGTTTTGCTTCAGTGGTTGACATCTTATTAAGAATGCCTGAACATAATTTACTACTATACTATAGAAACCTACAGCTTCTTCTTCTCACAGTTTCATTTACGAAGTTCAAAACTGTTTTTTTCTCTCCCCTGAACCATGGGCTGTAGATAAACAGTTCACTGACCTGTGTGAACAGTGTTGTGGTGCCAGATCTTTATGAGCTGAAGTTCTTAAACCAACGTGATCTTCACAGTCCCCCGTCCATCCTCCTTTCAGCATACACAGATATACACATACACACACTGAGTTTACAATAGTGAAGGCTAAGAAAAAAATGCTTTGATGAGTTGTATTCTGCCTCTTTATGCAAGATTCTTTTAATTTGTAGGATCCTGAAATTTAAATCTTACTATGATGACTCTTGATTGTCTGTGCTAGAGATTAAAGTAGGATATTTTTTTTAATTTGTTTTTTAAATATTAATGGATTAATCTTTGATATACTACTTAAAAGTTCTGAAGCAAGAAGTTAACCTTGAGGACAATGTGCCAGTATTCTGTAAGACTAAAATACCCAGGTTTTAAATTTCAGAATACCTGGCACATTTTCAGTGCTGACTGTACAAGGGAGTGTGCCTGTTGCTTATATTCATTTATGCATAGTGCTTTCAGGCTTGGAGACTAGGTAGTAGTTTTTTCTGGATGTTATATACATGTGCAACAGAAATATTGTTTTGCCCTAAAAACATTAAGATATAAATATAGGGCAAGCGACAAAACCCTGTTTCAATTAAATGATGGAGGATGAATGAAACATACTTGCTCTGGCCTGATTTTAGTTCTTTGCTGGAATTTCTTTTGTCATGTGTGGATACAAGTGGGAGTTGCAAATGTGCTTTCTAGTTGCTTTTCAGGGTCTCAGTGTCATTAATGCACTTGTAGTTATTCTGTAGATTTTAAAAACAAGCCTCAAAATGTATGGATTTTTTATTTTGGAGACCATTTATATTTCAGAACAAATGTCTGAGGCTTTCTTGTTTACTTTTAACAAAGGCATGTGATAATTTCTTGTTAGCTATGTGAGAAATTTCAGTTCCCATCACCAATCTATGGCAAGCAAGGCTACAGTATAGCATGAAGTCTGCATAGTAGTTTCCTGTTATTTTTAATGAGAAATATTTAAATTAAAAAATGTGTAATTTTATCAAAATATTCTAAGCCTTAGAATGAGCAAATTTGATTTAATTTCCACAAAAGAAGGCTCTGTTTTCAAAGATTTATGATTCATTTCCCATAGGAAATGGCTTTTAAAGTCTCTATTAGAAAATAAATCTAAGCTCTTTCTATACAAAACTACTGCTTTTTCTCCAGATGAAGAAGTGCCAGCACTCATTGCTTGTGAAATATGCTGAAATGTCAAGCTTCCTGTTGTCCTGGGACTGACTGAAACCAAGACCAGTATCAGACGTCTAGCTGTTGCTAAGCCGAAAACATAAATAAATCAGTCCTCTCTATCATTTTGTGACAGTTCAGGAAAATTTATAGCAAGATTGGTTCTTATCTGAAATTGATTGCTTGATAACCTACCCTAATAGTTTCTAGGAAATTCAGTGCATATCTTCTTAGATCCTTATATTATCCAATATCTTATATTGAAAGATATTTTATAACTTATTGCAAAATACATAAGGCTCACCATAGCCCTGAGCAAACTTTTATTGGGTGGGAAGCAGATCCAGCAGTCACATGTTTCCAACACACACTGTGCCAATACATGCTTGATATCAACAACTGAGGTTAAAAGAAAGAAGAGTGAGTCAGAGCCTTCCAATCAACGTGGCAGAATTTTGAACTCATATAAATATTTGGAATTTCACAACTGGGTAAGATATATGTGGAGTTTGGGCGTCCAGTATTATTTTTGTATTTATATCTTTACTTTCTAAAAAGATTTGTATTTGTTTACATCCAGATTTTGGTTTCCTGCTTTCTTTTCTTGGTAATCATAAGCTCCTTTAGTGATTCTCTGGCAGTAAAAACATGGAAAATGAAAATCCACTCTAAACACAATTCATTGTGGTATCCACTAGTTTTATATGCTTCTCTGTCAGCATTACAGCAGTACAGAGTTTTATATGCTTCTCTGTCAGCATTACAGTATTCTTGCTAAGGCTTTGCCAAAATTCAAGATCTTCACATCCCATCAATAAAGAAACAGCCACAGGCTGTGGTCTCTCAATCCACTCTTATCTTAGGTGAGTGAGCAATACATTCTACATCTGCAAAGAAGCAAGACAACTGTGTCACCCACATAACTGGGAATGTTTTGATTTTTAATGATTGCTTTTGTCACAAAACCTGTTTTCTGGTGCTGTAAATTTTAGCAGCCTGACCAGTGGAGCTGGTTGGGAGCTTCCCAGCTTAACATTGTTTTATTGGAAAAGGCTGCTTTTCAAAAAGGAATCCTTTTGCTTAAGAAGGTCAGTTTTGTCCGCAGTCTTAAGTCAATGTTAGAATTACCTTTTTTTTTTTTTCCTCAAGGGGGAATGTTTTGCCGTTAAAATGTTATTACGTTCTGCTTCATGCCTTCTCTAGGAAGGCTGATATTCAAAATCCAGTTTCAAAGCATACCATGGAATCTTTCGAGCAGTGCAACTCCCAAATAATAATTATTTTTTTCTCAAATCAGCAGTCTTGGAGGTTCATTTTTGTAACCTGATTTGAGATAAGGGAAGCCGTCAGTGCCTGGAAAACTGCTGCAGGGCAGAAGAACCACCTCTGTCCCGGACCCCGACGGGACTTTGCTGCAGGCCACCAAAGCTGCAAGACCCGTCAGCAGGGTCAGGTCAGCCCACGTGTGCTCGAGGCGCCGCTGATACGGTCTTCCCATTAAGCTAATCGCCTCACCCCATCCTTCATTACTGTGTCTTCTCCTCCGAAGGCTCTCACCGCCCGACATGTTCTCAGGGAAGGAGGTCCCAGCAAGGAACAGGAGGGAGAGGGGGTGTGACAGACGGAGGCACAGGGCAGGAGCACACATACTTATCATCAGGGGTGAAAAAGCCACCACCATGCCTGAGCTTCAGTTCAAAGAGGGCTGCAAGCTAGTCATTCCATCCTGCCAGGCTAAACTTGTGTGAGGAGGTGACCAAAGTGGCAAACGAACCAAAATTGATTCCTAACCTTGCTGCTAACCTCATCTCTTCTTTTTTTTTCTGTATTTTCTTTTTAGATTCCCCACAGAAGGACACCCCAGGGAACACAATGTCAGCTTTCAGCATACGAAAACAGTCTCCTAGTCAAAGCGGTAACACTGCGTCTCCTTCATTTTCTGCTCTCAGGGCACTTAGAGGTTGGGGCACAGCCCCCCTCCTTTCCAAGCACCGCCATGCCGGTCGCTCAGCTCCCTCGCAGGGCCACACTGCCACTTTTCGGCACTGACAGGCTGGTTATTAGATTCACAGCAGGATCAGTGTCAGCTGTGAAGATAATGGTGTTGTGCATAAGCTTTTGCTGTCAGAGATTCAGGCTGAAACACAGCGCTGGGCAGTGCAGCGTTGTGGGCAGCCTGGTGCAAGATGGCGCTTCCCTCCGCTGAGGCCTGAGGCTGCCGGGGAAACCCCACAGGAGCATGGCGGCTGGGAGAGCAGACAGGGCATTCATCTCCCTCTGCACCTTCTCTTTGACTCACTCTGGGGAAATGAGAAACTGAGGAACATTAGAATAGGGAAGAGGGGAGAGAAAAAGCAATCATTATGAGATGGGATTGGTTGTTCCTCTGGAGGGACAAAGCCTGAGGAGAGCTGGAGTTAGCTTTCTGTGCAGAGAAATGACCAGAGGCAAACTGGAAACATAATGAAATTTTCCATTTCCCTCGAACAAGCAAAATAATTCTAAAGACTGAAAGGTGTTGAGGCACATGAGGACCTGGTTTGGGTGAGTTATGCCAGGCCTAAGTACACCAAAATGAGTGCAGCTGCAGTGGGGAGCAGTTTGACTCTACTGTGTTAAGGACATAAACTTTTTATTGACAAAATAAGAAAGGGATAAACTCCGTCTGCCTGTGCTCGTGTGACCTGAGCTGTTGTATCTGATCCATATTTAATTTTTCAGCTGAAACCTGGGAGACAATTCATTAGACCGGAAATGAGTACTTTTCAGCAAACCCAAGGCCTCATGCACTAGCTAATTTCTTGTGATGTTTCTTGACAAAGAAACACAATACATATTCCTTGGCTACTGCCTTTAAAGGAGATGTCCCAAAACATTTTTTTGCACTAAACAATTAAGGAAGGCATGTTTTCTGTGAAATCCAAGTGATTTTTGGGTAGATGGTAACAGTGTTCCTAAAATGCTATTGGAAAACAGCCAATATTACATATGCAAGGATATATACTGAGTACTTTTTGAATATATAGAAATGTTTATGTTATGTTTGTGTCACTGAAGAGTTTTTCTTCAAGATTCAGAGGAGGTTACAGCTGACAGTAGAGCACAGATTAAAATTTATAGCAGACAGTTGAAAGGATCTTTGGCTAAAAATATTAGTATGAAGGGAATGCTGGAGTCATTTCCATCCCTGTAGTTGCCATCAGCTATCCTTGCTGTAGAAGAGCTTTATCTCTGGAATGTATTTACTTGAACTCACATTTTTCCTACTTTTGACAATTAACTTTTTTTTCAAGGCAAATCATTGCACCAAATTAAAAATATCTAAATGTTTATAAGAATGGAAAGGTATAGTTTTAGCTTTTGGATCTTCATTCAAATCCTTGATTACTGAGGGTTGCAAAGTTTTTTTCTATCTATATATGTTCATCCAAGTCCCTGTTACATTCCAGTCATTTCTAGTATTATCAGTATATTCAAACCAGTAAATATCTAGAACAAATGCACTTAGTATAGTCTTGTTGGCTGATTACAACTATTACCCTTCTTGACAGTGACTATGAGACAATGCTATTGTTTAAACTGATGGAGGTTCTTTCGTTCTTCCTCTTTTCAGTTTGAAAGAAGTGTTTATTTTAATAGATATTTTAATGAACTACTGGACCTATGCAGGCGAGGTTGGAATGTCTTCATTTTTTTGTCATTTGAAGTCTTTAAAGTATGATTTTATTAAATATTTTTAAGAGAAAAGCTATCTCAATTGACACTGAACAGGCTAATGCAGAAATCATGCAATGAGGACAGAATTCTTGTTATTCTTAATTTACCATGATTGTCAGCACATTCTTACAGATCTAATATTTGATGTGCCTGTTCATTTCTTAATGATCTCAAAAGACTGCATCTATGCTGCTCAAAAAAAAAAAAAAAAAAAAAAAAGAAAGCAAAGCCTTGGCATCAGGGTCAAAAGACAGCAACACACATGCTATCACAGCCATGTTTCTTAAATGTTTGTCACTTCTCTAGCAGCTCAGTCTTGGAGAGAGCAAGTCCAACACGAAGCAAAAGAACATTTGCAACCAGGCAAACATGAATGATAAGTCCAATCCTTTAATTCCTTCACTGGCCTTCTTTTATTTGGCAGTATGGACATATCTACAGTGAATTGCAACAGATAAGAGCAGACACGGTTTGGGTTACAGTCAGATACACATTTTTAAACTGAATTATGTCATTGCACTGCAGTGGTTTTTTTAATAAGAAAAATGTGTTTAAAAAATCAGTCTTGGCCATTGTCACTTTTAATAAATGTTTTGGTGCCTTGTTATGATTTGGCCTTCCATTCACTGTAGCTATTTGTCATTTTTCATGTTATCACTACAGCTGAAGTTCTTGGATTAAAAGCAAGAGCTACATTTTCTTATAAATCACAGCAGAATGCCAAAACACAGCCCTGACAAATGACGGAATACTGACTGCATGCATTTTATGTGAAGTGTGGTCTTTCTATACACTAAATTTATGGTCAAATGCCCTTACTGAACACGAGATAATGAGGTCTCCTGAAATCTGGTGGCGTTGAACTCCTTTTGTGTGGATGCTCAGAGAGTGAGGAATTCATGGAAAAAGTCATGAATGTCTCTAAAGGGAAAACTGAGAAACTCAGTATTCTTCATGTCAGTTTCCTGATTAATTGGATGCTATTGACAAAGGTTTTGCATACTTAATTTTTCACCTTCTCTTATCTGGTAAGGTTTGGGGCAAATATCACATTTTAAAAAAATGGAGTTTCTATTTGGGCTCAACTTCTAGTCTTCTGTTTTAAAAGGGAAAGTTAAAATGGCACAACAGTATTCCCCTCCACCTCAGACAGGCTGATGACATGAAACTTAGGTGGGAAGAAAAAGAGCTGACAATACTGTACAATAGTAATTGAATATTTTTGCTTGATTCTGCACCAACCTCCTCACAGAAGGAAACTTTCTAACACAGTGAAGAATATATATTCTCACAAATCAAGCGAACTAGTTAGTTAGTTCCTAAATATAATAAATATCAGCATTGTTGGGCAAGGATACTTTAGGGTTTTTTCATAATTAAATAAGGCTTCCATGTTCATACAACGTGTGGGTGTTCATATCTGTCTGCCCCTCCCAATACCCTTTGAAACCGTACACCAATTTGAGTTAAATCTGACATAAAGATACAGACCTTAAAGGTATTGCTTCTATTTAAAGTTCAGTAAAACTAGGTAGCTGGTTAGAAGAGACCCTGTTCATTCAGGCACTGAGGAAAAAGCTTCAGGTGGAGTCTGACCCTTTTGAGAAACCTGAAAATCCACACATGTTGGTCTGGATGTAGGTGGAGGACCATGTAATCATCTCAAGATTAGCTTTTGTTCAAAATTTGCATCCTGTCATGCATCTAAAAATATAAAAACCACAGACAACACCCCAGGAAATAGGAATCATTAGTTTGGCTTCCCTGGAATTACTGTTGTTTGTATATTTAATAATTCCTTTATCGGATCTATGATATTTGTTTACATTAAAAAAGTATCAAGCTGTTTCATGTTAAGGACGAAACTGAATTTAGTTTGGTAAACTGGGCTTCTGCAGTCCCTTCAAGGTTGAAGCGATTAAGCCACAAACTTTTCAAGGAAATGGTCTGCACCAAACAGGAGTGATAGCTGAAGATTCAGCCTGTGCTAAACTTTCACATATTTCAGCCTTTCTAATTATACTTTAAGTTTCCAAAATTATCCCATACCTTCATTTTCAAGACATGTTTCCCTGCATTTGCAGATAATAAGAGCCCTTCTGTTGCAATTAAAAGCAGACAACAGGCTAATCATGATATTAATAAACGACGGACCCTTCTGCAAGATAACAGCTGGATAAAGAAGAGGCCTGAAGAGGAAAGGTAAGAAAGATATGAAATACATTTCTTCTGTATTTAGTTCCGTGTGATATGTACACTTTCTTGGAGTGCCTATTTTTTCATGAATGGTAGCAACCAGAATTACATAAATTTCATCCAATACCTATTATTTGCTTATCTTGATGAGATATTGATTACCTTTTAAAAGTATTAGTCTGCTAGACATCCACTGACTATGTTTTTAATTGAGACTTTTGATTAGGCTTCTGCTCTGTGAGAAAAATCCCACATTTAATGTATTTAGGTTGCAAGAATGTGATCTGACTCTTTCTTTTCACAGGTATGAAGATTATAAATCTTGAGAAGTTCTTTTAAGGACCTTAAGTGAGAATCAGTTGAAATTTACCGTAATACAAAGTAGGACTTGTATTACAGTAGGAACTCCACCTTTAGACCGAGCCCTCACTGTTTGGTCCATGTGAGAAGAGATAATTCTTCCTCCAAAGTGTCTAGAGTCATCTAATGCAGAGAGCTGTAGCTGGTGTGTTTACAGTGGTACTGAACAGCTGTGAAATCTGATTGAGGACAGAATTTTTTTGCCAAGAAACAATTTTCTATTTTTAATATTCAAATTTTAACTAACTGCTGTCTTTGTTTTGCTTGAAGTGCTGATGAAAACTATGGAAGGGCTGTGCTTAATCAATACAAATCCCAAGATAGCCTACACAGGTACAGTAGAATATCTGAACACCTTTCTAATTACATTGTTAAAGAAAACTGAGTCTCCTTTTACTATATCCTGTTTATAGCAAGAGCTTTTTTTGCTCAGTCTTAGTCCATATATGTGTTCACTGTAAATATCGATCAATGTCAGTAACTAAGTCGATGATTGCAATGGATGCAGGGTTGGATCTGTTGATGATAGTTTGAAATCCTGTATGATACCTTAATTCAAGTCATATATTATTTTACTGGTGATTAACAAAAATAGTGACCAAAGTGGTATTTCTAATCTTTTTTGTAGCAGTAGCACAAATGAAAAGGAAGATCAGAAAGCTGCTCTTGGACGATACCGGTCTGATACTACCTTGGACAGGTAGGGCTTTTTTTCTGCATTTATTGTATTTTGTGATTTTCATACCTGTGAGAGGTCTTTAAAAATTCAAGCATGAATGAAATCAGCAGTTTTTAATTTCTTTAAAAATTTATTGAGCATCTAAGTAGAAGACTGAATGATTTTTGCATGAATTGTCAATGAGACAAATGGAAATGTGATTTGAGAAAAGGTTCTGACATCTTTCTCTTCTTTTTCTGCGTCAATTTCTGTGTATATACTTGTCCTCACAAACATAAGCATCAAGTATCTCTGCATAGTTGATATCCACTCCTCCCCAGTTTCATGCTTTTCAAACTATAAATCAAAGTCCTTTCTCTAGCAGTTAAGCACAACATGGCTAAACCCCTAGTTCTTTGCAAATCCTTGCTGCCACTTCATACCATGATCAGTACGAATATCAGAATCCTATGCTTATCATACAGGTGCTTAATTTGAATGTCCTCTCCAGCCTTGACCTCTGTTGAATTAAGACATTACCATGCAGGGTGTATGCAGATTCTTTCTGCGTCACATCTTCAAAGTTCAGCCCCCATTAACATCTGGTATCTACAACATGCTGAGGCTATGAGTACCAGCCCCGAAATGCACAGTGGGGAAAAGTGGACCTGTTTGGTGTCATCTTAACATTGTGCAATTTTGTTCAATGCTCCTTACTTCTGTTATAAGAAACGACAAAATTTGTTAGGTAAAATTTACCTTCTTCATAGAAGTCTGGAACAGAATATGCTACAGAGCTGTGTGATATCATCGCTACATCAATTCTTCTACAGGGTGATGAATCCTTCTGTATTTGTTCACTCATCACAAGGAAGCCATTCTACAACTTCATTTTACTTATTGCTCTTCTCTGTATCTTTTCTTTTCTCACATTAGTCTTTTTGATCTGGGGGTCCAAATATCCACTCGGGTATTTTAGATGGGAGCTCACCTTGTACATATAGAGGAATATAGCGATGGGGTTCATTTTATATTCTTTCTCTCATACTTCATCATATTGAATTTGCTCTTTTGAGTGCTGCTGAGAAATGAGCTTTCATTTTCATAACATTGTTAATATAACTCTAAGACCTCTTTCCTGAGTGATAATAGCTGGTTCAGAGATCAATTGTTTTTCTTGGCAGGCATTATTTTGTATCTAAGTAAAGTGAGTGTCATCTGCCATTTTAGAAACCTGACATGTTAGCAAATGACTTCTAAAAGCCTTGCCAGTCGGCATTTGTTTTGACTAACATGAGTTAGTGTCATTGGCAAGCAACATCATCTCACTTTCCTTCTTTTTCAGATAATTTGTGAACATATGGAAAAACACAGGTCTTGTACAAATCCCTCCTTCCACTCTGAAAAATTGTCATTTGTTCCAAACCTTTCCTTCCTACTTTGTAACCAGTTATCTGTACATCAAAAGACCTTCTCTGTTACCACATAGGAGAACAGTTTATTTAAGAGTCCTTAAAGCACATTTCTATGAAGTTCTTTGGAAATTCAAGTAGAATGTATCAGTTATGGCTCCCTTATTCACATGCTTATTGACTTAAAAACAATTTTTAAGGCTTGATTTTCATGCATAGAAGATTACTAATTTAGAAGTCATAGGACAATTCTGGTTACTATGGTGTCACTGAACAGCACTGTCTTTTTGCACTCTGTCTATGTCTTTTTGCACTCTATGTCTTTTTGCTTTATGCTGAGATATGAAGGTGTCTGAATTATTTTAGGTTGTAAGCTGACTTTGTGTTTTCCTATACACAAATACCTAACATAAAGGGTTCTTAATATGCAAGAGATGAGAGAGAATACAAAGAAAGGATTATAGGTGTGAATATGCAGTTCTGATAACTAATGCAGAGTATGTCCATAAATGGACTGAATAATGATGGTTCTATCTTGAAATAATCACATTGTGGAAGCTGCGGTCAAGTTGCTTATTTTTCCTGACTCATCACTGATCTCAAAACTGTGGAGTATAGCCTTTCCAGCATTAATTTGTGCACACCCGTTGCCAGCAGGCAGTTCTGTAGGGGATGAGCACGTGTTCTGCATCTCCTCAAACTTGCAGCCTAAGGCATAAAAGGGTGTGGTGATTTCTTTCCTATTAGCACCTTTTTGTAGCCTGCGGTCAAATTTGATACTTCCGCTTCCTCTGTGAAGGATGTTCTCCACCAGGTACAATTCCCTTATTTTCTTATAAATTGTTTCTGGCAAGCCTAACCACAGTACAGAAGTCTCCAAGCTTAAAACAGACCACTTTGCAGAACAGCTATATTGTTTAGTTGCCTAAGTGAAAAAGAACCATTCAGGTTTTTTTCCTGTTCGAAACTAAAAAGCAGAGTTGAAAATGGAGCATGTTCCTGGAATGTAGTATAAAGTTCAAAGGACTGCTCCTAGTAGACAGTTCTTGAGAAGAATTACCTTTGTATAGGAGACCCCTCAGAGCCTTTTACAGAATTATTTTAAGCCATGTTGCCTATATGGAAAATAATTTTTGTCTAGCTAAGATGCTGTAAAGTGATAGTTTTCTGCAAATCATCTTTAGGACATACCTGTTTTCAAACCAGAGATTGGAACAACTTTCCAGAATTCTGCTTTGTGTCTCTTCTGGCCATGACTAACATCCCAGAAGACAAGGATTTAAAGAATCTGGAACTATCTGGATGAATGTCTCTTCAACACCAAGTTTTCAAAATGGCAGAATGTCATTAAAATTCTAATGATAAAAAATAACTCTAAAATAAACTTAGAAGTATAGGAGTAATTTTGAGTTTGTCATTGCATATGTAAATGTGACAGTGAAAACATACCTAAAAGCCATTTTAAGTACAGCTTTTTGCTTCCTGGATGCTGCCATATCCATGTTCAAATAAGGTATTGTTTGATATTAATTTTACCTATCTAATATGTACAAAATTTGAACATCAGTTTTAGTACTAAGGACCTGGGAGAGATGTTTGGTAGATGCAACTGCACCATTTGCTGCAAGCACAAGAAAATACCAAACACAATTAAGTTGTTAACAGAAATCCATAGCTTGATGGCAGTAGGTGCACATATACTTGTACTGGCGTGTAGATCTACACATCGTAACTCTGACAACAATTGCATTGTGCAGATGATCACAGACAGCCTTTCTAGATGGCAGGAAGAAATTCATTTATCCATTTATTTCTCTCATGTATTTAGTTAGCAACTAACTAAACATTTCACAAAAGATAGGAGAGACCTTAAAAATCAAATAGTGACAATGTTATTTTTCCAAGTACTAAATGCTACGAAGTCCAGAAAAACTTCCAGGAAGAGTAAATCCTAACTGCATTTATAGCAATCAGATCTGAAGAGATGGGACTGAAACAAATGAGATGCTTTCATTGTCTGCTTTATTAATAATCTAATCCTTTGGAATGGTATAAATTGTTAGAAAATGAACTAAGAACAAACCAGAAATCGCTGCTCAGTTGTGGTATGAACCTGTTTTGCAGTACTTCACTTACGTGAAGAAACTACAATAGAACCAGAAAAAAATAAAGAGAAAGGTGAAAAGGAATGATCACAGGGATGGAATAGCTTTCATATGTGGAATGTCTGAAGAGACAAAGTTTCCTCAGCCTGGAAACAGGTGACATAGGGAAAGTGAGTAAGGAAGGAATATTTTCTGTTTGTTGCACTGTAAGAATGAGGAGATAATGTATGAAATGTTTAGGTAATGATTAAAAAAAAAGAAGAAGAAGGAAGTTAAAAATAAGAAGAACCCTTGATTTTCCCTTGACACATATATTAATTGTAGGAGTCACCACCACGAAATAATGTGGAGGTCAGAAATTTAAATTGGTTCAGAAAAACATTAGATGAGTAAATGGATCATTGATCCAAAGGTGTCTGTTGGAGACATCATTCTGGGTGCAAACAGAAGATATTCTTCGATCACTGCTTGTCAGAAGCCAAAAAGTTGCACAAGGAGAAGTTAACATTATACTTACATTTCACTTTTTTCAAAGATTCTGCTACATTGGGCAGTAGTGGAGTAGGATGCCAGATGGACCCCTTTAGGTCTTTGAACTGAACAAATACAGAACTACTTAAAGGATTATGCTGAAATTTTGAAAATATGAAATGAAGTGTGAAAGAAATGCTGCTTCATTGGATACTTGTGAATTAGAAGAAACACTTATGTTTGCATCTGTAGTAATGCTAGCAAGTTTAGTGAGACCTCTAGTGATCTTTTGAGTAACTGTATCTGCCAGTCAGTCACAATCTGCCTATGATATGAAATAGTTATTTGCACAATTAAATTTAAGATTTGAAAAGGGCATGGAGCACATCCTGGTGTGGATTGTGTCCCAGATCTCCCCTGAAGGCTTTTCATCAAATACAGCAGTATTCTGTGATACTTGGCTGATGGCAAAATACAAAATGTTTTGTACATAATATTAAATTATAGTCCTAGGATTAATTATTTTGTGTCTATAGCTTCAGTATATAAAAGACCTAGAAACCTGTATTATAAATAATTTCTGTGTTTTTGGCAGAATTCCAGCCAGAAGTGACACTGAAAAAATAAATAAGTCTCCAACTCTGAATAACAAGCAAAACAACAGGTATGAGTTTTGGAAACTTTATCATCTCAGTACTACATATTATAATTCATCATGCATTATCATCTAAATATTATATATTGTCATAACTTTTGATTATATGTACATGTCAAGAATATATAGAGAAATAATTTGTATGACATACAGCCTAATAGTAGGCTTGATTTCACCACCTGACATCTGGAATGCAGACATCCATATCCAGGTTATCACTGACTCTTTCTACAGCCAGTGAGGAGAAAAAGGGTCTTTTAGAGGACAACTCATCTGATGTCTCTCAGATATTTTCTTTTGAATAAGAGGAATTTTCCTTAAAAATTACTATTTCTCCATATAGATTAAAAGAGAGACCAGCTCAGATTACACATTTACTCAGCATAGCAATAATTTAAGAAACAGGCTTTTCAAACACAAAAAAGGAAGAATAAGAGTGTTTTGAAAACAATTCAGTGTGGATATGTTCTAGAGCTCTACATTTCTCTGCATAAATTCTACCAAATATAATATTTATTTCTGAGGAAAGGCTACATGAAAAAATTCCAATTAAGATTTTCAGTGGGAAATGCCATTGAACATTTCCAGTGGAAAACTTGAGTACCAAAACATAAAAGTATTTTTTTGATAATCAGGCTAACTGGTTTTTCCAGTGGAAAGATTTTCTTTTGTCAGAAGGTCAGCCTTCTGTTTAAAACAGGTTGAAAGCAATTTTAAATTTAGAATCAGTTAGCAGAAAATCTTTGACGTGTTATTAAAAAAAGTTGTTAAGAGTCAGACATGGCCAATTTATGTATGTAATATGACTACACAACACTGAAAATTTGTTTTCTGTAGAACTTCCAACTCTTACCTAATTGAAATGTTTACTTAAAAAATGAAAGTCAGAGGACCCTCACCACCATACTAACAAATGTAAAGGGATGAATGTGTTGCTGTGTGCCTTCCTCAATGTCAGCAGTGTTCTATCAGTAATAAATTACACTGAATATAGTTGCTAGTGAAGACCGAGCACGGCAGTTAAATGTCATCTTGCACAGCGTTGAGATATTACTCCAAAGAGCAAATTAGTATGTCTGGCATTTGAAGATCAAGTGAGGTCATTCTTTCAAATTATGATTTTACACCATTATGTTGTAAATCACAGTGATGATGACACATGAAACATCACATAAATTGGATTTTATGTTATTTTGTCCAGGCATGATTTTTTAATAGAAAAATGAAGTGGGATTTAAGTGAGACTTAAATGGTATATACTTTTTCCTGCCAGAAAGCAATACAATGATTTGCAAAGCTCTGCTCTTCAGTTATTCTCATTACATTTAGAATTGCAGAGGACAAGACCAAAACTTTTTGATAAACTATAAGAAAAATCACTTGCTTGGAATTGACATAGTTAGGAGTATGAGGAATACAGGCTTCTTTTACAGGCATATCATAAAATAGAGCAGCATTGACAAAACTGAATAAGAAATATAAAATTTAAAGTATGAAAAAGACTTTAATATTTCAGTGGTTGGACACTGAAGTATAGGTGCAGAAGCTAAGATTTTAAGAAGTCAGAAATTACTTTGGATGTCAAATAAAGACACATCTGAAAGCATTAGAATCCCTTAAGGTGTCCCAAATCTTGTGCCCTTTGAGGTAATTTCATAATTTCAGCTGGTGTATATAAACTTAGTCAGACCATTTTACTATACACAGTTGCATCATTCTAACAGTAGAAATATGATCTCTTATCCTTTTTTTGTAGTTTAAAATGATACACTCATTGAAGATTAATTAATTAAGTATATTTCTGTTCCAGACAATCCTGGACTCCTAACGCACCATCCACAAACACTGCTGTGACTTCTCCAATCAAGAAAAAAAGGTATTCATTGCCACCATTGCTCGGTTGCCAGAGGATATATAGCACCCTAGTAAACCTCAGTAATGTATCACAATTATATATTAAAAAAACCCACATTATTAACTCTTTCCTCTAGCACGCTCCAACTCCTCAGCAAGCTTCAAGAATTCATCTTTTACATGCTCTGGCTTTTTCCATGGGAGTACTGTGTTGGAAGGTTGCCTCTGTAGAGGCAGTTTTGTGAGCCTGGTGGACACAGCACAACAGATGCTAACTCTGCTGCAGCCCCTAACTCAGCTGCCATATGCCTTTTCAGTGTCTAAATTTAAAGCACTGTACTCACTGTAGTTGCGACCAGCTGAAATCTCTGATGCAAAACTTGACACTGTACTATTGCAGTGCACATGAATCAGAATGAGGTTTTCTGCAGGATACACAGCTTGCTTTAAAAATCTGGATTTCAGATAGTATTACCTGGGCAAGAATAAAAACAGGGTGTAGAACAAAGAACTACATTTTTAATTTATAATGTACTGCTGGCGACAGCTGGTGTTTTATGCATCCTTCCCAGCCTCACATCCTGTCTGTTTGTGATTTTCTCTTCCATATTTCATGCATTAAAATTGTGATCAGTAGAATTATGAAAGCAGAAATTAAAATGTCATCATTTTGTTATTAACAGTCCTGCTTGTTTGGTGGAAGTTTATGGTGTCTTCAGCCCACTAGTTCTCTTCAGCCTCTTTGGAGATGTGAAAGGCTGTCGCTGTATTGCACTGCAATTGCTTTTTCCTCACAAACAATTGCTGGATTAACAGTTTTGATGGGGAAAAACAATAGAAGAATTTAAAGTGCTTGTGATGTTTATGTGACCCCTAATACCAGCCTGAATGTGTTTCTTGCATTGATACTTGATACCCTTTACCTTGTGCGCCATTATCTGGTTGTCCTTCCCATGAATGATCCATTTATTTGTAGTATTCAGGTTATAGAAAAGACCACCTAGAGTCAGAGGATACGTTTTTTCACAGCAATAATTAGAATTACTATATTATTTCCAATTCCATTAAGTTGTCTGGAAAAAAATGATCTAAAAAGTATTTGTATGCAGTATTTCAAAATATTAATTTTTTTTAAAAAGTTCAAGGTATTTCTACATCACTTCTGACATTCTAACATTCATATTATGCTGTTTGGCCCCATAGTATTAAACTAATAGTAAAGAATTTATTTGTTAACATTGACAGGCAATCTTGGATGCCTCCCGCGGTTTCGAGTAGTAAGACCACAACAGAAACAGTGGAAACCAAACAGTAAGTACTGATGATCACTAGTTCTTTCCAAATTCTTGGCTAGGGCTGATTTGGGGAATGAGTCAACAGGACAATTCTTTGAGCAACCAAGTCTGATGAGTTAGATGGCACAGGAAGAGAAAGTATCCTGTGCCTAAATACTTGTTTGGGCTCTCAGCAGCTTGATGCCCAGCATTGACTGATGTGTCCAAGTATGGGAAGTGCCAGTGACTTGAGGTTACATCAATGCTTCCAAAATTTTTCTACTTTCTGCTTGCATACTTTCTTTGTGGCTTTGCTTCGGACTATTCCAATTAGCTCTCCATAAGACAAATCTGCTATAGAATGACGAGCCATAAGGGCAGGAATCTATCAGTGCCGTGTGGCCTGACAGCCAGGGGCTAACCACTGGGACCTTTTGGTTAACAGTGTGGACAAAACCTCAAGATCTGCTTAGCCATCTCTCAGGAAAGTGTCCAAGAAAGAGTTTAGAAGAAAAGCTCAAGCTAAATTTACTTGCAGAAGAATGCTTAACATATATTTCTGAAGTTCTGGTTGCTTTCTGGCAGATCAGAAAGAGAACAGGGGACTTTTCTGGTGCTCTCATCTAAAAGTAGAATATAGGTGGTTTAAAATATTCACGAATGAACTTTCATGATATTCTTTGCCTAAGCCCCCTATTGACCGCAGCATGGCCTTGGTCTTCCCCAGTTTTAATCTGGGAAACTTCCAATGTGAGTCTCATGCATATCAATGATGAAAATTAAATGAAACAGAAATGAACAGGCACATTCTTGTATTAGGTAGAATTCCTTGGTAGGCCGTGGTCTAAGGAGTTCATGGAATCTCTGTCACTGGAAGACTTTAAGATGAATCCTTAAAACTGAGTTTAGCAATTATTTTTAGTCTTATTCTGTGTTTACTACTGTCCATCTCTTTGGCCAAGCTTCAAAGTGACTCACCACCCAGCCAAAAGATCGCTCCAAGATGCTGAAATTTATTTTCTTTTAAGTGAGTGCTTACTAGATATTTTAATATGTCAACTGTGATGAATTTATCTGACTTCATTTCAATATCTCACTATGATCATGGTGATTTTGAAAGTATAGGATAGAATGCATCCTCTATATGGCCCAGCTTCTAACAAAATGCTGGGCTTCCTATTTCCTTCTCAACACTAATTATGCAGTTGGTTCTCTACTCTCATAGTCCAGAGAAGACCAAAATACAGGAGTGTTTTTTATGAAGCTTTCACGACCCTTCCTGGGTCACAAAGAATAGTTGGTTAAACAGTGATGGGCGTTAAATGATTAATTTGTTTATCTTTTAAAAGTGCTTTGAAGATGTGCAAGCTATTTCAGATTGTGAATATTACTATAACTAATAGTAGACGCCAAAGCAAAGCCTTTTACTCGCCTGTGAGTTTCAGGAAATGAAGTGCTCTGCATAGATACTAATCACAGTTTTATAAGGTCACTATCAGTCTTAATGACAGGTGGAGCCAAGAGCTGTGCCTTTTCTTCAAATATGAGAATGGCCAGTTGTTCTGGTTTCCTCAGGAAGGGAGTTCAGCAATCAGGGGTCTATGGGTTTTTTAGGTCAGGGCTTATTAATTACTTACCTTTTCCGATCCTGAGACCTGATTCTAGCCTTTTATAGTCAAGCATGACGTAAACTTCTAGAGTGCTTTGCCTCAGTTCCAAGCTGAGTAAGCATTTACAGAGCAGTTAAAAGAAATTGCAATTGAAGCTAAGAATACAAGCAGCTAACAGCAATTGAGTTTTTTGATTGTGAATTGTGTGCTGAAAACAAAACACTATTGACCAGAGTGATTGACTGGAGAATCTTAATTGAAGAATGATTGTCTTAGTAACATAGAAAGAATATGATTAGAATTTAGTATTATGTTACTTGAGTTAAACATGTTATGCTCCACATTAAGAAACAAACTGCCATCTTGGAAGGAAGGAAAAATAAAATTAGTTGATATTGATTGATCTAAAATCTTGCAAAGTGCTTTGATACTAACATTTTGCTACTTGATTTCTGAAATGTTTATCCTTTCTCTAGGACCACTTCAGAAAATTCAGAGGCTCCAACGACGTACGTCTTGCTTACTTTGCTTCTTAATAGATTTAGAAATGCGACACGCTCACATGCACAAACCTTATTATTTTACATTTATTTATAATACAAAGACTGTAGAATTTACCTGAGACGGCTTCTCCATAGTCAGTGTCACAGAGGCACATGAAGACAACTTACTTCCTTGCAGAAATGTATTTCACATAGTTTAGCACATTTAATTGGATATTTATTCAAATTGAAAAGCCAACTGTAACTGCAGAAAAAATTAAAAACTGCTTCACAATTTTACTTCCATGGTTATATATGTTGCTAATGCAAATACTCCTTTACATTAAATTGGTGCTCTAAAGAGACAGTGAAAAAGAGAGCCCAAGCAAAGTGAAGAAAAATAAAGTGGTAAATTAGAAAGCTGTGCACTTGCAAATGCTTCTAATAGAAGGCGTTAATGTAAGATGAATTGACGTAAAGTAAACTTATTTAAATGTCTGTAAAGGTTGCCCTAATTTAGAAAATAAATTTATTAAATTAAATCATTAACTAAATGTACATTTCATATGGCCTAAATTAGGAAAAAGGTTACTTAACTAACCTGTAATTTCATGGTTTTTAATTAAGAGTTTAATTAAGTTACAAAACTTCTCCTAATAGAAATATTCTCTAAAGAAGCATGTAAATCTCACATCCAGTTGTATCATCCACCTTTTGCCTTTTTTGTACTTTGTTATAATTTTACTATTTGTGTAGTGACCAATCTGACCGTTTACAGAAATAAGTAAAAATAGGAAAGTGTAACTGTTGACTTACTTAGTTTTTAAAAAATCAGTACTTTGCTAAATAAGTGAAATGTTAGTCTTCACTAAATAAGCAAATTTTATTTAGTAGGTCATAGAAAAGTATTTAAAAATTCCTTTATTACCAAAATATCTTTGAAACAGTAAAGAAATTCTACTTTATTACTATATCCATACTAGCAAAACAGCTAGTCTTGGTATACTAGTTTTTCAAACGGCCAGGGAAGGCAGTAATCTCATGAACAGCAGCATTGCATAGCTCTTTATATATATATATATTTTAATATATATTATATAAATAATTCTTTATATATATTACATATTTTTATATATTATAGATCCATGTAAAGAAAAAAATCAGAAAAAAAGTTTCTCAAAGAAAATCCAAACTCACTGCGGTTACACTTGTAAGAAATGTAATATCTACAATGATAATCCATTAAAATGATATAATGTGATTCCAAATACCTTCTTGTGCATGAAGTATGTTTTCACCATTCATACTGCAGGGCTGCTGTTTCGTCAGAACAGGTGACTCCACAGAAATCAAAGGCTGACGTGGATGATCAAGCTACAACAAGGTAACAAGCAGATATAATCAAAACAGGGTTTTTATAAACATTGATAAATGTGATATTAAGTACACAACTCTTTTGATTTCCATATTTAATAGCTCATTTGGACACGGTGTGTGATAAACACAGGATTTATCTAGTCCTAACAATTGGTCTATAAATACAAACTGAGTTCCATCTCATTGACTTGCTCAGTTATGGCAGATGTTTAATTTTTTATTCTTTTAGTCTGTCTAGCTTGCATCTTAAAGAGCAGCATAGAGATAGTTGCTGCAAATGATTGGAAGCAGATGAACTGCAGAAGTGTGGATTATATAGTCATTCTCTTTGGGCTTCAATAAACTGTGGGAGAGGTACTATCTACACAATTCTAGATACATAAAAGTTCCCAACTTGTGCATCACAGTGTTGACATTTTAAATAGTAAAAAACCAACATATACCATTTAGTGTGACAAAATTAGTAGGTTTAAACAGATGGACTTGTTCTTGTGGTATGAGTTAGATGGCATATGTAGCAATATATCTTGGAAAGTGTACAGAATACCATGAAAACTATTGGTGGAAAAGACATAGAATTTTTTTTTTTTCTGAGAATCCAGAAAATTGTAAAGTTCTTTATTAATGAAGACATTATATTTTTCAAAACAATCATCAATAACTGTGCAAAAAAATTGACTTTATGACCTTGACCAGAATAAAAGGTCTGAATATGCAATTAAAAAGCGAGTGAACTAGAGAGAGATTTCTAGATGTGCACCAAGAATTATAATAGCTCGTTTTTCAGTCTTTACCTGGAAATATTAAATGGTGCAAACACAAAAATTTGTTTAAATTATCTAATTTTATTTATTTTTATTCATAATGTACAGTTTTCTGAGGTCTGAAGCCCCAGTCTATATTATATTATATTATATTATATTATATTATATTATATTATATTATATTATATATATATATTGACCCCGCTCCCCCAAAGCCCCCATTATGTAAAACCAGGACAAAATAATTAAGAAAAACATCTAAAAAATGTCTGACAGTGTTATCCCTTGGAAACAAGCAGTGTTTCAGTGAAACATTTTCCTGTCGACAAGTATGGGAGATTTTAGAGAACTAAATACACCACTGTATTAACTAGGGAAGTCACAGCCATTCTTCACTCCTAAAGGTCTTACTTAATCCCCACCCTCAATCAGTTCACATTCATCATCCCCCCCGTGGCTCTCATTACCATACCAAGCTTTGTATTCCTGGCCCTCCATTGGCGGAGAGCTAGAGGAATATTTTACTGGTCTACAGGTTTCTATGGCAACATTGCGCTGCTACAGCTATTTGTGTCAGTATATAAACTATAAGTAGCCTGTAATCTTAGCGGGCAAAATTCAGTCCTCTCTACTCCTCCTATGATTTCTTTACATTTGGCTGGTGCTTCAGATGTCATCCATCTGCTGCTGCTGTGTCAGCTTCACAAAACTACAGATTTTTGTTAAATTTACGCTAACGAAAAATGCATTAAGCAGCTGCCAGCAGAAGTGCCTTTTTTCTATTAAACATGTCATATAAATACTACACTTTTGGTAAAAATTATTTTGCTGCACAAGGGAAGTTACTTGAGAAGTACTTCTAGTAACACCAACATTTATTACAATAAATTTTATCTTACATCCTTTCATTTCCCCTGTTTTCACTTAGAATGGAAAGATTTTCAGGTCATGGTTTTTAAAGTCATACTTAATTGATTATTCATCTTTCACTCAGCATTCTGATAGAGTTGTTAAAGGCATAATGAATTAATTTCAGTATAAAATAAGTGGAAAATAACAATTGGTTTTCTATCAAAAATACAGCAACACCAAGATAATCTTTTGGAAGGGATTTACCAGAAAAGAATGTCAGACACTATCTCTTTTGGCTAAAAGTGTAAGCTTCACTGTGTACTGTTCCATGCAAGGCCTAACACTGATTCTGTTAGCATAAAAAAGCAATTTTTTGTATTGTTTTCCAGTACAATTAGATGTGGCATCTTAAAACATAAAGTATACAATAATATATATAGCGTATCTGGAAGCATGGACATCTGGACCTCCACCTTTTGGAGATGATTAACAGAATGGAATAGGCATCTCATGCTTCGTTAGGGCATCTATAAGTAGGCTAGACAACACTAGTAGGCTAGAATCCAGAAAAAGTAAACACAACCACTGTCATAATTATGTATTTTTCAGAGGATAATAAGTTGTCCTCAAATCAGGTCTCTTGGAATGTTACAAATGCAGCAGCGTATGAGCACTGCACTGGATACATACAGAGATATTTACTGATTTATTCAATGGGTCTTTTATTCATTGCTTATCAAGTTCTTTTTGTGTTCTATTTCCATTTCAGAGGAAATCCAAGATTCTTACTCTGGGTTTTTCCATTAGTGAATTGTAGCAACCACTAAATGCAGGTGTTTAAAAAACCCACATTTTTTCAACAACCATGTTCTGTGAGCAACCTCATTAAACCACTTCAAATATCCTGAGGGTGTTTAACACAGCTTTAGTCAATCTTTCATTAATGATTATAATTAGGAAGCAAAAACGTGTATTTCTAGAAAATGCTTCTATATGGGGTTCATTTGTATTCAACTACACTGCTTCCTTGCATATGATCTATACAGAAAGTAACAGTATTTGGCACAGTGGGCCACATTTACTGGTGCAGTAACAAAGATATTACCACCAAAAGATGCAGAATAATCAGAAAGCCATATTTTCAACATTTCATAAATTGTAGAAGTAATGAATTTGTCTTTTATTTTGCGTAGGTATAGCAGAATTTGTGTGCTTTTGAGGTGATAGTAACAGGGGCTATGTAAGAACTTAAGAGAGAGAGCTCACTCAGCTCTTAAAGCATCCATACTGAGATTGTCTGCTACAAGTGAGTGACTATGAGTCTGTAGGAGCATGGCATATTGTAGAAATTTTTACATAAGCACATCTTTTTGGCATGCTGTCTACAGCAGAGTTAAGTTGAAGAAAATGTCTCAGCTGTGTCTTTGTATGTATGTGGGTGAGAGAGGCAATTTCTAGGGAACAGAAACAAGGAACTAGAATATTTTTCTGACAAAATTAGGCAGACACTATATTCTTGGCTCGTAAGCATTTTATTTTCTATAAAGTACAGTACACTGAATATTAGTTCTCTACAGGGTTTTCCTATATTGTACAAGGTAATCCACTATAATTACTCCTATCAGATAGCAGTAAATGTAGACAACACTGTAAATAAGTTTGTATTATGCTCCTTTTTAATGTTATTCCTATTTAGCCTGAGATCATAGAATCATAGAATAGTTTGGGTTGGCAGAGACCTTAAAAGGTCATCTCATCCACCCGCCCTGCAATGAGCAGGGACACCTTCAACTAGACCAGGTAGCTCAGAGCCACATCCAACATGACTGAGAATGTTTCTAGAGATGGTATTACTCTTGTATGAATGCTGCTAGTCATTATAAAACTCATGAAAGAACAACACATCAAATACCTGCGCTTAAAAACTCTCTTGCAACAAAGGCACATTTTTCTGTGTTTACCAACATTTGGCAACTTTGTAGAATGGAAAAAATAAGATACAGATTTTTTTTTCAAATTCTTTACAAAATGTGAGTAAATTGGTATTGGCTTTAAATTTTCCAAACCTGTGGAATTAAGACCAACATGTTAAGCATCCTAAATGAACATTTATTGATAAAACTTGTATTGTTGTAGAGCTGCAGAGAGCACAAAACAGAGAGAAAATGTAGGGGCATTTCAAGACACTGGCCAATTATGTGTTCCCATTACATGAAAAAGAGAAATCTGGTCTATGGAGAGAGATGGGCAATTCCAAACAGCCACTAGAAACATCCTAGAGAATTGTCTTAGGCTGGACTAAAGTTTAGATGACCACGGTTAGACGGTATGACTCCCACACCAGGTATTCCTGTGTGACTTTTCCATTGTGATGTATATTTATTTGCTTTTGGTTTCTAGTGAGACCTTCAGGAGACCTCCAAAATGTTCTGGAGGACACCTGTGTCACTCAAAAAATGTTGGAAGCAAGGGTACTAAAACAGAACTCATGTAGGCATGCCCATAATTCAGTAGTTGTAACTGCAGCCAGATCTTGCTTTGACTACAATGACAATTTTTTCCTTATGGTAAAGTGAAGTGGCTTTAAGCTTTCTAAATTGTTTTTGATAGTACAAATTAATACAGTCATTTTTTATGATATATTTTTGCATTTCAACAGAAGGCAAAAATATTAATTTACTTTCTAGTGACAGAGACCTTCTGCCTCCCAATTCTGACAGGATTGGCATTCAGTGGAATGCTAGTTTACAGCTTTTCTGCATGTTGATATAAATGATTTGCTGTTGCAGAGCTTATGTGAAGAGATTCAAACCTATTTTTCCTAACTGAAAAGTTAATGCAGTGTTTACAGGGTCATACATATCCTCCAAGCAAAACTGAGTAAGTTGTCCTTTCTTCAGTGATCCTTCCCAGTCCACCTCGTATAAAACATTTTGATTAACAGCTTCTTCTTCTGCCTTTAACTCCAAAATCCTCTGGGCTAAGCATTACACTGGTTTGGGCACACTATAAATTGGCTTTCACAGTTGACTGCAGAGCTCTTCTGTTCCCTTATCCTTGGCTATTATTGATGAAAAGTCTGAATGAGGACTCCTGGTACTGATTAGTGAGTATAGCGGTGTGGAAGGAAATGCACCCTGCTTCAGAATAAATGCCACTCTTTTCTCAAAGAACTTCTTTATTGTTTCTCAGTTATACATGGTGAAGACTTATACAGAGATAATAAAGCAGCTGGGGATGGCAGATCAAAATTCAGATGGGCCCATTATGTTAAGCTTTATCCAGTGAGTTTCATGACATACTTAATATATTAGAATCAGAGAATCACAAAATCATAGAATAGTTTGGGTTGGAAGGGACCTTTAAGGTCACCTAATCCAACCTTCCCTGC